GCCTTCTGTCCTGTTAACACCCCGGTCCACTATTTAAAAAGCTAGGTCAGAGCACAAGTAGCACACCTCTGACTGAGCCTGGTACCTGCCCAAGATCGAGCTAACAAAGCTTCTACCTTGGCTTACAGCTCGGCCCAAATAGGTTTAGCTCGGCCCCATTTAAACATAAATTACCCTCTCAGGTGAAGCATGAAAAATGCAGGGAAGTTAAGAAGAGGAAGCAGCATACAAAAATATATAAAGGTTTGATTGTGAGAAAGGGGGGTGCTAAAATTTGACAAATAATAAAACACTCAAACTGTCTCCATCGATCTTTGGTTAGGACAAAGAAATGTTATAATCGATCGATTAAATTACAATTAGTTTTGAAAGCCATAAAAAGATATACATTCTCTCACTTTTTTTTATATTGAGGACAATATCCTAGAAGGAATTACTAAGAAAAATTGCTGGACTTGCCAAACATTCTTGGTGGTGCATCAATGAAGCACTACCATTCATTAGCTCTCATCCCTAAAGCTCATATCATCACCATTATCCACCCATATAATTGTTACATCAACCCAACTGCAAGCAAATAAGAAGTTAAAGAAGTCAATTGGAATTTGTATCAAACAACACCATTCAAGCCACAAAAATTGAATAACTAAAGCCCCAATTGGGAGCAAAGTGATTAGATCAATCACCACTTGTATATGAAGAAAATAAACAAGAGAGGGTGAGGAACTTGTTAACCAAAGTGAAACAACTATATTCAATCAAACATTTTTACAAGCACTTGCAATGCATCTTACAAACCCAGATTTCAAATCATATACTATGTATATCATATAACCCAGATTTCACACTAACTATATTCAATCAGACATTTTTACAAGCATTTACAATACATCTTACAACCCAAATTTCAAGACAAATACTTATTTGTTACCAAAATCAAGGTTAAAAAAAAAATCTCAAAAAACACCACAAAATGCATAATCATCATCGCCCTCCTCTTCGTCCTCCAAACCGCAATCTTCGTCGCCATCAATCCCACAATTTTACGTCCCAAAACCCCCATATTCCAGCTGAGCACCTCCATAATTGACAACCTCACCACTTCAATCTCATTCGATATCCGATTCGCCGCCATGTAAGCCGTGAAGAACCTGAATCTCGGCCCCTTCGAGTTCCACGACACCTATATTACTTTTTCATATAGGGGAAAATGAATCGGAAAGAGTCGGATCTGTTAGTTTAGAGCCAAGGCTTTGTCGATGAAGAATGTGAGTTTCAAGTGGAGTGCACTACTTATTCTTCTTCGTCTTCGACTATTTCAAATTTGGGTTTCGTAATTGGTTCAGGTGAGAGCTCACAAACCTTTGAGAGGTTAGGAACCAAAAAAACAAAACAAAACAAAACAACACAACGTCGTTTTGAGGCATGGTAGGAACCACTGTAGAGAGCCACGACAGAGGATCCGAACTCGTTTGGTCATTTTATATGGATTTGTTCTTATGGCCAAAATAATTTAGAATGTGGACCTTTGATTAAAGAAAATTAAAAATTAGACTTTTAGACCGAATATCCCTTCTAATTTTATTCTTAATGCATTCTTAGTCATACAATATAATAAAAATCTCATTATAGTAAAATCTCGCAACATAATGATGCAATTAAATTTAATTACAAAAAATTCTCATATGCTTTATTTGACATCATAGGCCTTATTTGAGAATAATTTATTTTAATAATTTTTTAATTTTTGCAAAAAAATATAAAAAAAATAAACAGAGATATGAATTCTTTAACCTTTTCTTTTAATATATAACTGTCAAACGAGCTAATAATTGAGACTAGTCCTTGTGTTTCGATATCTACTCCCACCATTGGGTGAAAACACAAAGAACATTCATATATTTGCAGCACTAATTTAAGGGGTCGGTATATGTAAACATCCACTCACTTAAATGCAAGCACATGTTGACCTTTATAATTTTTTTTTGTTTTTTGGGCCCATTAGACTTTGTTCATGGACCTTGTCTCTCTTGTTCATGCAGCTTTAGCTTTGATAAAGTAACGGTTACCTTCTTTTTTTTTTTATCCAAAAGTAACAGTTATATATTTTTATGACATATTTTTATACAGTATATCCACGATTTTTCACTATATGAATAATACAATAAAAAACACATGTGAAAATAAAAAAATATATATTAAAAATTCACTCTACTATCCACCTTAATACCCCATATTATTTTTCTCTACCCCTTATATTTATATTTTTCCACACTGCTTTTCTCAATTTCACTAAATCGTACCACCCTCATGACTATGTACTAGTCTTTTATGACTTACTCCATTGCGTTTGCAGATATTCTAGCCATTTCTTGCAATGGGCTGGGCTTGGGTAACTATGAATTGAGCTCTAGCTCTATCTATGGGGCTGTTGGTGACATGGGCATCCTTAAATCAGATGGGCAGTGGCTAAAAATGAAAAGGCTTATAAATAAGTAAAAAAGAAGAGAAGGTTTATTTTGTGACCGCAATGAGAGAGAGAGAGAGAGAAAGAATGGGAAGTTATTTTTTAACTTGTGTATTTTTGTGTGCGTGTAATTAAGTGTTTTAAAAATATTAAGATTGTATTTTAATCATAAATTTGAGTAAAAATTTTTTTAAAATGGGCGAAATGTATGAAAAATTTAACAGAATGATACAGAGTTTAAAAATTCAAAAATTTAACAATATGCTCTCAAACATGAACGTTGAACTGTTAAAAAGTTTGAAACTCCAACGCTCCTTGTACAGCTTTGGACCCTACCCTACCTTACTATCATGGTAATCCAATATTTTGTGAATCACGATCCTCTCTTTTATATCTCTCCTTAACTCCCTCTTTGTTAGGTTATTGAGCTCACTTTTAGGTTCAATTTTAATGATTCGAACCATTCATATTTTAAAATTTGTTGAGCATACTTATAAAAAATCAAGTTGATCGGATATCAGAAACTACGTGTTTAAATCATCGAACTACAAACCATTTTTTTTTTTAATTTAATAAATAGTTTTCCAAACGCATGCTTTCTGATATCCGATCAACTTGATTTTTAACAAATATGATATACTCAACAAATTTTAAAATGTGAACGGTTCGGATCATTAAAATTGAATCCAAAAGTAAACCCAATAACCTAATAAAAAAGAAATTAAGGAGAAAGATGAAAGAGGGAATCTTGATTCACATTTTGCGCCACCACCGACCATATAAGACGGGGCAGTTTTAAAATGAGACTCGCATATGGTTTGTACAACACATGCATGCACAATACCAAAAAATCAATTGTGTATACATGCATGTATCTGTACTATCTAGTGTGCACATACTAATTTGTGCAGGAAATTGTAGGCTACAGTAGACAGAGATTATAGTTATTGATTTAGGCAAGATAAAATTTTTAAAATATATATAACATTGTCGTAGAATTTTAAAAATTGTTCGTTTAGAGCCACCGGTCTTCAAACAAGAAGAGAGGAGAGAAAAAAATTGAAAGAGTGAAAAAAGAGGAGCATCGGGTGCGCACGCCATTAGTAGATAAATAGGCTTAATTTGAAAACATAGTTAAAAATCAACTTTTAACTTCTAACTTATTTTGAGTTATATCACCTCTCTATTTTTTTATAAATTTTTTTTTAAAAAAAAAATCAAACTAACCTTTCAAAGCAACTCATATACAGCAGGGGAGAGCGGGCCATCATTGTCATCATATTCTCTTTGCCCTCTCTCTCCTCGTTTAAATCGTGCTTATAGCAAAGTGAAAAGAATACCAAATATGAACAATCCGGAGCAAACCCATCACAACAAGGAACACAAAATTAAAAGGACAGACAAAAATTCAAACAACAAACATGAACTTTGAAAATGACAAAGGAACCTTACTTATCTTCCTTTCATCAAAAAAAACAGAAAGAGGCCAAATTCATTCTAAATTTTACCCATGTCATTCTAAAATTTAAAGCTCCACAATTTACTTTATTTTTGGGTAAAGTAAACCCATCCATCATGTTTAGCAAAAAATATAATAAATCTAGTATAATTATACTAATTTCTCTTTCAATGAGACTAAAGTGATTGAAATTAAGGTGAATGATATGAAAATATAATAATAAATATGATAAAATATACCTTTCAATGTAAAAGAGATAATAATATCATTTTTTTTATCCATACAAATGAATTTATTGATAAAAATTAGGTTATGTGTTATATAAATTAAAACCTTAAATGAGTCCAACATAATTATGTCAAACTTGTGGATCTCAATATATTTTCTGCGTATCTTAAACAAATTATTGTAATTTACCCTTTATATTGTAATCATTTTCAACTTTCTTCTTCATTTTTATGCTTCTTTTTTTTTTTTTTTTTTTTTTTTTTTTAATGTAATGCCACAAACCCAAAAATTAAAAAAAAAACCAAAAATTACTCAGAATTTGAATTGTGTTGATTAGATTTGGAACTCACTTTTTTAGGTTTATAACAAAAGTTAAAAATTGATTTTTTTATATTTAAAAACATTTGGAAAGTTGGTTTTCAACCCCTGATGAAATTATAATTTTATTGCTCATAGGTCAAAATATGCTACATGAATAAAACTGTAAATATTTTAAATTGAATAATGATAGTTTGGTCATTTTCTTATGATTTGACATCATAAACAAATATTAATAAAAAAAAGTCAAAAAAATGCCAAAAATAACTTTTTATCAATTTCTCAAATCATTTATCTAAAAAAACCAAAAACTTGATTAAAAATTAAAAAGTCAATTTTTACTATCTTCTCAGAATAAGTCTCAATGTTGGTAGGGATTCACAATAAATCAAGTTCAATGTCCACTGCACACTCACTTTTTGAATAAATTTATAAATATTTTTTCTAAGCTCCTATTTTTTATACTTTTTTGGGATAAGCATATGTAAGTACATGCCCTCGGACTCTTCACATGGGGCAATTATTACATATCGGAGAAGGTATTGCCCGCAGGGTATTGCATACCCCAAATATATCCATATATATATAGCCATATATGCGTTGTAATTACTTGTCTCCTTCTTAACTTTACATGCCACACTCCAATTCAAAACCTGAGCCAAAAATAGAAAAGGCCTTCAAAAGTGTGCCAAAATGGCTAAAGCTGGTTTAATAGTTTGTGTAGTGATTGTAGCTATGGATGTTGCTGCTGGAATTCTCAGTATTGAAGCAGAAAAGGCACAAAACAGGGTAGGATAACTTCGAAAAAATAATTAAATATTTTCTTTTGAAGTTTTATTTTCTTTTACAGCCACGATGTTTTTCAACAGGTGAAACATAAGAGGCTGCGGATTTTCGAGTGCAAAGATGCAAGCCGCGATGCTCTTAAACTTGGGTTAGCTGCAGTTGTGCTTCTGACTCTAGCCAATGTTACAATGAGTTTGCTTGCTGGTTGCACTTGCATTTATTCAACAGAAGAGCACGAAAGCTCTTCTGCTACCAGGCGGGCATCGTTTGCTTGTCTCATTTTCTCATGGTATGCTTCTCATCATTGTCGTTTCGCCTCTTTTTTTTTCAGTGCTGTGAAGTAGTCTTTATAGTACTTGTGTAGAAATCAACTGAGAAATATTTGAAATGTTACACTAATGCTGTATTTGGTTGGGAAATTTAAGAAGGAATTTGAAAAGGAAAACGGAAAAGCTAAGTGAAATGTGAATAAAACATACCTATATTTCACCTAATTTCACACACCTTTTCCATTTCTCTTTTCAAATCCTTTCTCAAATCCCCCAACCAAACGCAGAGTAAGGTGATGTTTGTTTTGAAAGATTGAGTCATGCAATTGGACTAATAGTCTATTGTTTGGTTTAATTTTTTTGCTTTGGATTATTAGTCCCTCATATGAGCGATTATTGTGGGATTATTTCTATAGGATTGATATCCCATGGGATTAATGTATAAAATGTTCATTTTACCTTTATGTTATTACTTAATAAACAATTGAAAAAGAATAAAATAGTTTTTTGAACATTTATAAATTATTTTTTAGTGTTATTAATTTAAAATTATATATTAAATATAAATTATAAATTATATTTAATTAAAAATAATAAATTAAAAATTATGGTCTTATAAATTAAATTTTTTTAGTGTTGTTAAAAAATTAAATTTATATATTAAATAAAATTATTTTTTTAGTGTTGTTAATTTAAAATTATATATTAAATAAAAAATATAAATTAAAATTTTAATTTAATTAAAAATAATAAATTAAAAATTATTGCCTTATAAATTAAAAAATTTTAGTGTTGTTAAATTATAAATTGTAAATTATAGATTACAAATTTAAAATTATATATTAAATAAAAATTACAAATTACAAAGATAAAATAGTCTTTTAAACATTTATCTTTATTCAGTCCGTCCAACCAAATATTGAATTCACTAAAAAATAGTATAATCTAAACATTTAATCACATGACTAAACAAAATTTTACTTCAAGTCTCAACAAAATTTAAAGCACCAAACACATCATCCTCAAAGTATGCATTTTGGTCTCCAAAATGCGTCCAGATTTTTTTTTCTTTTTTCTTTTAAACTTTAATTCTGTTGTATTTTTATAAGATTTCGAAATTACTTTCACCTCGTTGACATCAAAAATTAAAGAGTGACAAATCACATATATTGAGGATAGTAGAAAAATCAAAAGATTTGATAATAAAGTGTAATAGATGGCATACTTTGAAATAATTAGTGTAATCTGACGACATTGTTGAAAGCTTCCATAATTTTGAAAACCAAAGTGAAACGTTGATCGTGTAATTAGGTTTACGGCGGCCGTTGGATTTCCTATGCTGATTATTGGGACGTTGGCAAATTCAAAATCAAGAGAATCATGTGGGATACTGCATCATCATCTTCTATCTATTGGAGGGATATTATGCTTTATCCATGGCCTATGTTGCATAGCATATTACATTTCTGTAACTGTCAACATTGGAAAAGAAAGTTCTTAAATTCTTGGATGTTATGGCCTAACAAATCTTTGTAAGACAAACAACAATACAAAAAATGTGTTGAGGTTTTCTGTTTTGGAAAACATTTTTTCTTGTCATTTTCATTGCAAAAATGTGTTGATTCCTTGAAATTATTGATCATTAGCAATTTTATTTTTTATTTTTTAAATATTCCTTGTTCATGCAATATTTGCCAGTATAATCTCTAGCTCACAACAAATTCCAACAAATACTTTACTATTAATTCAAATCTGTAAAATTTATTTGTTTCCATAACATGAAATTTTTAATCAATAATAGAATGCAATTGCTTTAACAAGAATGTTACTTCAACTTCAACATTTTTTCCTGACTAATAAATAATACCCCAAGAATCCCAGATAATTTTACTTTGATGCAATGTTTAGATTTTGGAATCATGAAGCCAAAATTTCTACAATTCAATTCACTAGAAATACCAAAAGCATTCACAATCCAACAAGAAATAGAACCTCATATTTTTCACAATTTGACAGAAGAGAATTTTCATTTCTGGAATGAAGTTGATACAATAACTACCGACTGAGCAAAACAATTCACATCGTAAATCCTACCAACCAAATGAACCCTAAATCTACTAAAATTCATTGCAGCAAGTGAATTTCGTATGGAACAGATGAAGTATCAAGAAAAATCCTTCATCAACATCATCTAACTGTCTTCGTCGATCTTGGAAGAGGCAGTCCCTGCCTTCTTTGGTAACAAGTGACTGTGAATGTTAGGCATCACTCCGCCATTCGCGATCGTCACCGCACCAAGCAACCTGCTCAACTCCTCATCGTTTCGCACCGCTAACTGTATGTGACGAGGCACCACTCGCGTCTTCTTGTTGTCTCTCGCCGCATTCCCTGCCAACTCCAAAACCTAGAGAAATTTCAAAAAATTCACAAAATCAGAGCCACATACATCAAATTATACAGAAATTTCAGAGAATCTCAAATCAGAACCATATACATGCAGAAATATATCTACAGAAATTTCAGAGAATTTCAAATCAAAGCCATATACTCAAATTATACATATATATGATGATTGAAGAGAAAGTTACCTCAGCAGCGAGGTATTCGAGGACGGCGGCGAGGTAGACCGGAGCTCCGGCGCCGACACGCTCGGCGTACTTGCCGGCTTTGAGGAAACGGGCGATTCTTCCGACGGGGAATTGGAGGCCGGCCTTGCTGCTCCGGGAGGTGGACTTCTTGGGTGCAGCGGAGCCCAGTGACTTTCCTCGTCCGGCCATTGTAGAGAGAGAGAGGCACAGACAGACAGACAGACAAGACAGATTTGGGGGGTTTGAATTTGAAAAGAGGGAAAGATTGAATTTGGAGATTAGGGTTTGTTATTTGGATTTCAGTTTCGTACGCCGGATTTATATAGTGGTGGCGGCCAGAGGATTAGCCAATGGAACGAAAGGATGTGGATCCAGATCTCTACCGTTGATTTATGTAATATTGAACGGTATGAGATGCTGCTGGAAGACTTCCAGCGCGTGGAGAGCAAGAGCAAATTACGAATTCCAGGCTTATTGCACTCTAGCCCCTCATTTAGTAGTAATTAATGGGAACTATTCATCCATGTTTATATTTTCAGTTAATTACATAAAAGTCATATTTATAAATGTTATGATAACTCAGATCCTATTTAAGATTTTTTGAACTAATAAGTTCTATTCAGTAAAACTGAGAATATTATCAATTTTTTTTAATTTTTAAAACTAATAACATTATGAATTTTGAATAGTAATGTTTCAGATAATTGTTTCACTAACTAATAAAAAAAATAGAGTATGAAATTAAACATTTTTGCCTCTCTACTCATTGATTTGATTAAACTATCCAATAAAACTGAGAATATTATCAGTTCTTTTCAGTTTTAAAACTTAGAACATTATCATTTTTTTCTCATTTTTAAAAGTTTTTTTTTTCAATTTTGCACATCAATGTTCCATCATCACGCTCCTTTATAGATACAAAATTTTCAGTTTTGCACAAAAAAAATAATTCAAGTTGTTTTTAATTTTCAGAATTCACTTTTTAGAAAATTCTACTTTTTCGTTTTTCGTATTTTTTTTGTTTTCACTGAATTTTTTTTATATTTTAAACAATTTTTTTAATTTTTAGACACGCCTAACATAAATATACTTAAAAAGTATAATATTTGTGAAAAAAAAATCTTTAAAAAATTTACTAAATACAAAAAATATATGAGAATTCAGTATATTTTTCGTATTTTTATGCATTTATTAATTTTTTAAAATATGTTTTCATAAATATTTTTACTATTTAGATACATCTAAGTATAAAAATTACTTAAATTTTTAAAAATATTCACTAAAAATAAAAAAATACAAAAAACAAAATACTCAATTTTTAAAAAATTGAATTCAGAAAACTGAAATTGAATAAATTTTTTTTTTTACACATAAATTTTTTTAGTTTTTCCAATTTGCAAGTTGATATTTTAAAGTTTTGAAAATCAAAATAAATGTCAAATTATCATATTCTTTTATAGATAATTGTACGGGGGTGAAATATCATTTGCTTTTCGTACTCCTTGGACTCAAGCTTCACGTGACGACGTCTATCCTGGCAACAAAGAAACGGTGAGCTGCCCGGCGGTGGGTCGCCGGATAGATCCTCCGACGATTAAGTCAGAACACTTGAGGAAGAAGAATACTGTTAGAGAGAGAAAGAGTCGCTCAAAGTTGCATACCTCTAACGTTCATCTTCCATTCCTTTTTCTAGGCTGGCCATGCAGCCTCAGGATCGTGCGTGCACTACCTCTGCTGTCTTTCCTTGGACAGGTAGCAGTGCTTGCCTCTCACCACCTTACGCGTGTAAAGGCCAAATCCTCCAACCAGTACATGCAGAACTGCCAAACGGTATTGACGCGTGTCTAGAGCAGATCTCCTCTCCCTCACGTCATTGGTCCAGGTGGCACACTTTACCGGAGTGCCACGACCGACCTACCTCTCGTGGAGAATTGCTAACACAAGCAACACAACCGAGCGGTGCCTCGCCGACTTATCCCTTGGAAAGAAGCAAAAGTATGATGCTCATGGCCGGGCTGTGTAGGACCGGTCCATCCTAGCTGACCGGCCGCGAGGCACTCCAGCCTTCTCCTGTTTTACCTTCATTCTAGGTTGTATGAAGTCGGGTCATCTCGGCTAATCGGTCGGAGGCATGCCGACCCTCGCCCCGTCCTCAGTCTAGTCCAGGCTGTCCTTAGCTCGGTTGCGTCATACCACTGCGTGCCTAGCCGAATGTTCAGCCATGGCACGGCCCGACGAGGCCCTGGACCACATCTGGTCGGTCAAACTACCCCGGCCGTGCAGATCAGGCCGGAGAACCACACAAATTGAGAAAACAGGTCTGCTCCCGTAAGATCTGCCCTAACCGATGCTACCGTAGGTCGGTCGTACCAGTCCGGAGCAAATCTCCCTCTCATATAGTATTTTAGGCCAAGTTTGGCTAACCTAAAAAAGTGTACTTATTTCATCTTTTTATCTTTTTTGGATCACATTAATCAACATCTCCTCTCTACTTTTTCTACGCATAATATAAAAAAAATCAAAAAGTACACTTATTTAGTCTTCCGAAACTTGACCTTAGTAAAGACAAAAATTGCAGTGAGTTTGTATTATTTGAGTCAAGAATTTAAAGAAAAAAAAAAAAGGAGAGCAAAAGGAGTTGTAATTTTATGAGTTTTCTAGTAACTTGCAATTTTGACTACAGCAGTGCTGCATAGCTCTAAGTAGAGCTGTTACAGTGTAGCTCTAATGAGCTGGCCACATATTAAAAAAAAAAAAAATGAAATAAAAGATAAACTGTAGAGAAAAAAAAAGGATAAATTAATGCTCCATTAAAATTTTTTTTTAGAGGTTTAAATCATTTTTCATAATTTCCCAGACGTAAAGCCAGTCTCTGTCCAAGGGCTGCTACCCAAATCACCTACATGTGTTCCATTCATTCTCCTACTACCAGGAACAAGCTTTTCTTACGTATACAATGGAGAAAAGATCAGGCGAATCTCGTGCTCTGTGCAAAGTAGACCTCTAAAAATTGATTTAGACCCATAAAAAGAGAGATTTAATGGAGCATTAATTTATTTTATTTTTTTCACATTTTGTCTTTTATCTCATTATTTTTTTTTTTTATGTGGCCAGCTCATTAGAGCTGCACTGTAGCAGCTCTAATTAGAGTTCTGCAGCATTGCTTTTTTTTTTTTTTTTATATATGTGACCAGCTCATTAGAGCTACACTATAGTAGCTCTAATTAGAGCTCTGCAGCACTGCTGTGGAAATTATTCGTGTTTAATACATTATGGCCTTGTTTGATTGGGAGGACTATGGGGGGGGACTATCCACTATTTGGATTGTAATCCAAATAGTGCTCCTTATCCGCCGTTTGATTTTTTTTTAGTCCGTCGGACTCCATGTCCGACCGGACTCCATGTCCCCCATATGGGGGACTATTGTGTCCCGGGGGGGTGGGACAGAAAGTGGGGGACTATCCACTGTTGGGATTAGATGCGAAAATGACCATTTTGACCCTCTACTATTTAATTATGTATTATATTTAATAAAATTCAATAAAATTTAAATGTCTCAATTTAAAAATAAAATAATTTTATTTAACTTTTTATTGATGTTTTATTTATTTAATTTTTTAAAATAATTTTTTATAGATACTTTATTTTAAAATTTTGTTTATATTTTATTTAATTTTGTTATTTAAATTTTAATAGATGTTTTTATTAATTTTAATTTATTTAATTTAAAAAAAAAGAAATTTATTTAATTGTGTAAAAAATAAAATAAAATATATTTTTATTTAATCTAGTTAAAAATAATTAAAATATTAAAGATATGTTTAATATTGCTATTACTTAATAAATAATTGAAAAGGGTAAAATAGTCATTTAAGCATTTATCCTTCTTCATAATATCTCAAACAACAGATTCATATCCTATCCGATCAAATAGTTCTTTCCTGACATCTAATCTTATGACTAAACAAACAGGGAGTACATATTCTATTTTTCAGTTTTAAAACTTAGAAAATTATCATTTTTTTTTCATTTTTAAAAGTTTTTTTTTTTCAATTTTGCACATCAATGTTCCATCATCATGCTCCTTTATAGATACAAATTTTTCAGTTTTGCACAAAAAAAAAATAATTCAAGTTGTTTTTAATTTTCAGAATTCACTTTTTAGAAAATTCTACTTTTTCGTTTTTCGTATTTTTTTTGTTTTCACTGAATTTTTTTTATATTTTAAGCAATTTTTTTAATTTTTAAGCACGCCTAACATAAATATACTTAAAGAGTATAATATTTATGAAAAAAAAATCTTTAAAAAATTTACTAAATACAAAAAATATATGAGAATTCAGTATATTTTTCGTATTTTTATGTATTTATTAATTTTTTAAAATATGTTTTCACAAATATTTTTACTATTTAGATACATCTAAGTATAAAAATTGCTTAAATTTTTAAAAATATTTACTAAAAATAAAAAAATACAAAAAACAAAATACTCAATTTTCAAAAAATTGAATTAAGAAAACTGAAATTGAATAATTTTTTTTTTACACATAAATTTTTTTAGTTTTTTCAATTTGCAAGTTGATATTTTAAAGTTTTGAAAATCAAAATAAATGTCAAATTATCATATTCTTTTATAGATAATTGTACGGGGGTGAAATATCATTTGCTTTCCGTACTCCTTGGACTCAAGCTTCACATGACAGCGTCTATCCTGGCAACAAAGAAACGGTGAGCTGCCCGGCGGTGGGTTGCCGGATAGATCCTCCGACGATCAAGTCAAAACACTTGAGGAAGTAGAATACTGTTAGAGAGAGAGAGAGTCGCTCAAAGTTGCATACCTCTAACGTTCATCTTCCATTCCTTTTTCTAGGCTGGCCATGCAGCCTCAAGATTGTGCGCGCACTACCTCTGCTGTCTTTCCTTGGACAGGTAGCAGTGCTTGCCTCTTACCACCTTACGCGTGTAAAGGCCAAATCCTCTAACCAGTACATGCAGAACTGCCAAACGGTATTGACGCGTGTCTAAAGCAGATTTCCTCTCCCTTACGTCATTGGTCCAAGTGGCACACTTCACCGGAGTACCACGACCGACCTACCCCTCGTGGAGAATTGTCAACACAAGCAACACAACCGAGCTGTGCCTCGCCGACTTATCCCTTGGAAAGAAGCAAAAGTATGATGCTCATGGCTGAGCTGCGTGGGACCGGTCCATCCTAGCTGACCGGCCGCGAGGCACTCCAGCCTTCTCCTGCTCCACCTTCATTCTAGGTTATATGAAGTCGGGCCATCTTGGCTAATCGGT